AGCCGGGCGTTGGGGGGGTCTCGCCGGACCAACTTGATTTTCATGAAAAACCTGTTCCTAGGTTCGCATGTGTTCTTTGGTGTCCAGGCTGGCAGCTATCCTGCCATAGACGGCCACATTCCTCCATCTAGTGCGGAGATCATGGACGTTGGGGGCATCCCCCCCAAACCTGAATAAGGTCCATGATCTCCACCCTGGACCAGGAAGGCGCCCGCCTTCTCCAGCCCCTGGCAGGCTCCTGGGAGCTGGCAGACTGCTCCTGGGGAGCGGTGGAGGGCTGGCTGCCCATGGCTTGCTGGCTCATGTTTTGAGGCCACTGAGTCTGGGAAGGGCCGGACGGAGGCATGGGCGAGCCGGGTAGCTGCCCAGGGTGCCAATTGATGAGGGGCGCCCGATGGCAGCTGTAAGGGGTGCGCGGCGTCCCTTACAGCTGCCATCAGGAGCCGTGCGCCCGGCTCCAGCAGCACTGGGTTTTTTTAAGGCTTTTTTCGTGTAGCCGTGGACTAGGCTATTTTGAAATAAAGTCAGTTATTCCGAAATAATTCTGCTGTGTGTAGACATAGCCTTAGAGACTAACAAAAATATATAGTATATAGTATCATAAGCTTTCTTGGGCAAAACCCACATCTTCAGAGCGGGAGTGGAAATCGGGAATTGAAATTAACAGGTGTTATGTGTCTAGATCCTTCAGTGTAGCTTTTAGGGATTGAAATTAATGATAATGCATCTAATCTCTGTAGAAATTAGTGTTTATATATTAGGTGTAATATATTGGAGATTTATGTGTCTAAGTCCTTTGTTGATTAGAGATTAGCAATTAAGCATGAGTGATCAAAAGCAATAGGATGAAGTTTCTAAACACATGGGGCAGGTGTTAATTAGAAGTTGGTGGTTCAGAAGTAAGAGGTTTATGCCTCTGAACTCTTGAGAGATTAGTTATTCACAATCAGGTAGGAGCAAGGAAAGTGAATGGATAAAATGTGTCTAAATTCCTTGGCCGTTAATGAAATCCTCAACGTTGTACGTTTGCCAAAGACTGAGCTATTTACCGGCACAGCCACTGCAAGAATTGTAGGAATGCCACTCACGTACGTAGAACATTAAACAGGTGGAGTGTTATCCTCTTGTGGATTAATTCAAGTTCTCTTCCCCGTTCTGCATGGGAACAATTATCGGCTAAAGTCAAGCATGTAATTATTTTGGTGGTACTTATGTGCAACAGGTGTACTTTTCTCACAAGAGAGCTGCACGGGTTCTTCCTTGAATGAGTGCTGGTAAATCTCTCTGAATCCCAAGAGAAGAAATGTATCCGAAGACATCGTGGCATTTCTAGGGCTGCCCCCACTGAGCATGGTCGGATCATGCAATGCCAGCCTGCAAACATGGAAACCCACCTAAAGGTATCTTTGCAGGGAAGAAAATTGCAGGAGCTGGTTGCAAAAGACAAACACACAGCTGGGATCCAATTTGCAACCCAGGACACTGGTGATGCATAGGAACCGTTCAGGGCACAAGGAACAAAGCGGGAACTAAAATGAATGGGTGTTATGCATCCAAACAT